ATCAGGGTGTTGTTGTTCAGCTCCAGCCTTGAGACCGCAGCTGGCGCCGAAAGGGTATCCGCATGAAGTGATGGTGGTTTTTACTTTAGTGCGAACAACTCATATGAATTTCAAAGCTGTTCTAACAGTGCGACACTGGTCTCTCAATCTCCCGTTGGAGAGCCGTGAGCTTCTCCATGATGTTATCAAACTTACGCTCCGTGATGTTGTCATTCTTGTGCTCAAAGAGCCGATTCTGAGAACTCACGACCGCAGTGAGCTTCTCCAAGATGTGATCCAATTTGCGCTCAGAGGTGTTATTCTGAGCGAGCCCCTCCAAGATGTAATCCAGTTTGCACTCAGAGGTCTTATTCTGAGTATTCACGGCAGCCGTAAGCTTCTCCAAGGTCTAAACCATGCTGCACTCAATGAGCCATTTTGAGAAACTCACGCCTCATCCCATCGTTTCAATCCCAGCGGGCAGCCTTGTGGGGGTTTGAACAGCCGGTTCCGCTTTCTTAATTCTTCGATAAGTCATGGCCAAGCCAGCTCCAATCAGCAAGAACCCTGTTATCATGGTTCCGAATAGGTAGATATCTTCAGCACTCAGGCTCACCCGAGCCCAGACTTCTCATTGAGAAAAGGGTGTCAATTGCATTCAGGGACCAGTTGATCAAATCCATAATTCCTCTTTTAGGTTTTAGAGAACAGACTGTGAGAGAGTGTTCCAGGGGAAAGTAATACCAAAAACATGAGACTAGACAAGGACATAAGAGGCTAAGCAGGGAAGCTAAGGGAGAGGAGGAGGAGGAGAGGAGAAAAGTGCGACCGCCTTCGTCAAGAGCAAGAGCAACTTTAATGACATCAAAATGTCATTAAAGTTGCAGTCAGTCGTTTTTTGAGGTTATTTCACAGAAAAAAAAATACTGTACTCGAAGGAGAGCTTTATAAAATGTCATCCTTTTCTTCCTCAACTCAAGCCTCTCCTGAACTGAAGTCAGCTCTAACACACAAACATGCATAAACATGCTCATTTAGTCCCGATACTGTTGCAATTAGTTATTGCAAGCAGATACATGATACGGCTAAACAACAACATCCTATTATAAGCTAACATTACGCCAGTGAATGTTAGGCTTAAATGTCCTAAGTCACACTTTCCTTTTAACAGTTTGATTAGATTCTCACATCATAGGACAGTTTATTCACTAAGCATCAAGTCCAACAATGTAACAGCCACTCAAAGCACAGTTTAACTAACACCAGCTAACAGCAACTAACATAAGCTAACAAACTAACAGCAGCTAAGAGCAGCTAGCAGAGCCTAACAGCAGCTAAAAAAAGCTAAGAGCAGCTAACCAGAGGTGGGTAGTAACGAGTTACATTTACTCCATTGCATTTACTTGAGAAAGTTTTTGAAAAAAATGTACTTTTAAAGTACCTTTTTTGCACGATACTTTTTACTTTTACTTGAGTACATTTGTGAAGAAGAAACGGTACTTTTACTCCGCTACATTTGCAAAATTCGACTCGTTACTTTAAAAAAAAAAATTAGTTTAACACATTAGATAACATGCTGCCAGTGGAGTTTCCAGTGACTTTTTTACCAATCAGATGTGGCCAAGCAGTCACATGACCAGTTTGAAACTGTGGCGGGCAGAGCGACCCAAGCATTTCAAAGTAGAGGACACACAGAAAGAATAAACACATGAAAACATGGCAGAGTCAGTCGTCTATGCTAGAGCTGAAGAGGATGAACACCCTTGGCCTCACATACAAAGAATGTTTCGCTTAAAAGCAGTACAAAACAGCTATGTCTTCAGTGAGAGCCAAAACAAACCAACTTTTCAGCGTGAAACAACTCAACTCGTGTAACCTGATGAAATGGTAAGTTTTCTGTAAATATCTTTTTAGCTGTGGTTAGCTGGATGTCAGTCTTATGTTACAGCAGCTGTGTTGAGCTCGAGCTGCGAGTCATATTTACGGCGCTACGTTGTAGTGAGACAAGTTTGTGGGTGTTTTGTACAGCTTCGGCTGTCCTTTTAACTGTTCGCTGGTTAGCTAGCGTGAGCTATAAGCTAACAGCTAGCCTGGTTAATGACGCTAGAGTTCAACGCACATGCAAACAGCATGTCTCTACTGCCTTAACTGTTAAAACAGAACACAATACTGCGGGTGACAGGGTTTAATATGTAAAACAGCAGCTTTTTTAGTTTAAACAGTCTGCATTAAGCTAGGCAAACACTGTGCGATTTTTTTCAGTCACGTTATTCAGCTCCTGCTCAAACTGTACAATTAAATTGCAGAGGTTAGAAGTTCATAGGTCACGATGCAGGGTCTCACACTATACGGCCTGATGCTCTGATGCGACCTGAGTGCTCAAACTGTGCGTTCATAACATGAAGCTTATCATACATAATCTGTCTCTCGCTCTCCCTCTTTGTATCTTTCACTCACTCACTCACACAGACATACACACACCACCATCAACTTTGCTAAATTACTAATGAAAAACATTGACCAGGCAGCTGCAATTGAGGTTGTTGTAGTCGTGATCATTTTGTGAGGCCACATTGATAAGCCTCGGATACGGAAGCATAGAGCTGCCACCAAGGCAAAAGAAAAATAGAGCTATATCATGTTAGAACGTGAAATGTTTATTGTCATAACAATATACTTTTCATGTTCGTGTAATATACCTTTCACGTTTGAACAATATAATATCACGTTATTCCAATATACATAATTATCACGTTCGTGCAATATAAATATTATATTGGTGGCAGCTCTACGCTTACGTACTCGGATGAGCTTGCCTCATCCTACAAGTTGTGCCTCCATCTCTTGTGTCCAGATCACACGCTGCACTGCCGTGCTGCTCCACCTTTTCACTTTCATTTCTGTGTTTGTGCGTGCGCAGTGTGAGAGGCTGCGTTGAGGGGCGACAGGATTTCAAACAGGTTTGATTATCTTGCGACCATACAATTGATGATTGGGAGCTGGTCGTGAGGCGTTAACTGCTTTTCATTACCCCATGTATACTACACGATGCACGACACACGATTAAGGCAAAACTTGGGCCGATCCCCAAAATGGTTGCGTTACAGCACTATAATGACCAGACCTAATTCTTTTGAAAACCATACAACTTTCCACAGGTCTCCACTTCATCAGACATCACCTAGACACAGAGCTGGATGAGGCCAGCACAAACAGCGGCCTGACCAACTAAGATGATGGATCCATGGGGTCAGGAAAGCCAGAACCAGGGGAGCTGGAGAGGTACCTTTCATGTCCATTCACTGGAGGTGTGGATCTATTGCATGGCTTTCCTCACATCAAGAAGCTTCGATCAAAATCAATACTGCTCTTCCTGCATCTGGAGCTTGTGAAGGACTTCTTAGTCATGCAGGACTCCTGTTCACTGCTAAACAGTCACAGGTTCACAGTATGAACCTTGAGAGCAAACTGCTGCTGAAGTTTAACCATCACCTCACTGAGTTAAGAAATGGCACATTTTTGCTAAATATGCAGAAATAAATGCACACTCATACAACTTATGGTAAACTGAGCTGCCTTGTATGTACATACGTTGAAGATGCCTCGTTCTAATGTTTTCTCTGAGGCTGCTGTGCCATTTGGAGCAAAAATGAATATAAAGTTTACAGCATATCTTGTCACTGGAAATTGTTTGCACTGTTTATATATTTATATTATTTACTGTAGGTATTGGTGAAAAAAGCTTTATGTTGTGAAAAACTGAAATCTGGAAATTAGAATTGTGCCTTATTTTGTTGATGTTTTTACATATATTCCTTTTGAAAATACTAAAATTTGTTATTTGTTAATTTTTGTTTGTCTGATAGCATTTATTTATAAAATAAATCTGACATTTCAAACAGTTACTCACTACTTGAGTAGTCTTTTCGCCAAGTACTTTTTTACTCTTACTTGAGTAACTTTTTTGACGACTACTTTTCACTTTTACTTGAGTAATAATATTTTAAAGTAATGCTACTACAATTTTTGGATACTCGACCCACCTCTGCAGCTAACTGAGACTAACTGCAATTTACTGACATTTAGAGATGAGATTTGACACACAATATAACTTTAAAGCTTTATATTATTTCAGCCTACACTCATTTAGATTAAGATCACCTGAGTTTCCTGGCTGTGGATCCAAAATGTGATCTCTGGATCTCAGCTCTGAACTGAAGAATTATTATGATAATGATGATGCAGGAACAACAACAGTAGAGGATATCAAATACACCAAATCCTAAACTAAAGAAAACCCATCTATGAATACAACATGAAAAGAAGTCTCTAATCAGACAGCTTCTTCAGAGATATATTTTGGGTTCAACTACTTTGCATTTCTTTATGTCTTGATGCATGCTCAATCATCCAGGTAAGTAAAGCCCAAAAAGTTGATTCTGTTCATTTGGACACAGTGTCCAGATGAATCAACTCTTTGGGATCTGCATTTCTTTAGTTTGCTTCCAAGGAACCAGATTTTCTTGTCATTTTTTAAAAAAGTGGTCATAAGTAGCAGTTCTTCAACTTTGTGGTCTTTCAAAGTTTTCTTTGGACATTGGCTGCTTTTTCGTTCATTTACAGGTAACATACAGATAAACTCAGATACTGATCCCCCATTTAAAAAAAATCAGGAAATCGGGATCTGATTGGGTAGTAACTGAGTCCTCAGTACAGACTTTGTATTATTGCAGGGTGTTAAGTATATAGCACCTTGAGGCAACTGTTGTTGAACTGAACACCTCCCAAACCTATAAATATGTGATGCTTTAAATGGATTCTTGTGTCTTCTTTGCTCACAGACTCTTTGGTTGAGGTGTAAAAGAATAGAACATTTTCGGGGGGAAATATTTGCAAGAGCCCTTTAACCATCTGAAATTTAAAAAAAAAAGAAAGGGAGGGAGTGAGAGAGGGAGAGAGAGAGATAGGCGTGCGGTGCGTTGGCAGTATAAAACCTGAAGTCAGACTTGAACAGCTCTGAACTTGTGAGGAGAGCTGAACGCGGATGAAACTCCCGCTTTCTTGTTTTATACTGAAAAAAAAAAAAAGTCCAATATGAGAGAAAATGACCGGAGAATGATGGAGAGGCCGCCCCCTGAGCCTTCTAATTCTCAGCTGCTGGATATTTAAGTTGATCAGAGAGTTTTTATGTTAAACATGCCGCGGGTGACGCGAACAGGATGAAGAGGAGAAGGCAGAAATGTGTCGGATAAGTGCTGGAGATGGAGACGAGAAACGCGCGCGGTGGATGAATATCTGAGGGGCTTCGGAGCGGTCTCCTTTGCGCTCGATGACAGCGGGGTCTGACCGGGGAAGGTGGAGGGATGGAGAATGCCAGTCAGCTTAAACCGACTCCTGCCATCTACGGAGAGCTTCTAAACATCTCAACCAACGACACCCATGCCAATTTCACGGCGAAAGCGGAGCCCAAGGACAGTAACGTGGCTCTCCAGGCGGGTCTGGCCGTCACCTTAGCGCTCATAACTTTGGCCACGACGCTTTCAAACGCGTTCGTCATCGCCACCATTTACCAGTCCCGCAAACTGCACACGCCTGCAAACTTTCTGATCGCGTCGCTGGCGGTCACGGACCTACTGGTGTCTATCCTGGTGATGCCCATCAGCGCGCTGTACACGGTGAGCCAGACGTGGACGCTGGGGCAGGTGGTCTGCGACATCTGGCTGTCCTCGGATATCACGTGCTGCACCGCGTCCATCCTGCACCTGTGCGTAATTGCGCTGGACCGCTACTGGGCCATCACGGACGCGGTGGAGTACTCCAAGAAGCGCACGCCGGCGCGCGCAGCCGGGATGATCGCCACCGCATGGGTGATCGCCATCTCCATCTCTCTGCCGCCGTTCTTCTGGCGCCAGGTGAAGGCGGAGGAGGTGACGAGCTGCAACGTGAACACCGACCACATTTTTTACACCATCTACTCCACTTTCGGCGCGTTCTACATCCCCACGCTGCTGCTCATCGCCCTGTACGGGAGGATATACGTGGAAGCCCGGAAGCGCATCCTGAAGCAGGCGCACAGCAAGCCGGGGAAGAGACTCACCTCTGCGCACCTGATCACCAACTCCCCCGGCTCGGTGGCGTCCACCACGTCCCTGAACTACGGGACCAACGACTCCTCCTCCTGTGACACTACCTCGTCCGCGAACGTGAGCCAAGTCAAAGTCACTGTGTCCGACGCGCTGCTGGAGAAGAAGCGCATCTCCGCCGCCAGGGAGAAGAAGGCGACCAAAACTTTGGGAATAATCCTCGGAGCCTACATCATCTGCTGGCTGCCGTTTTTCATTTACACTCTTTTAGTGCCTCTGTGCGATTCCTGCTTCCACCCGGAGCTATTTGACATTTTCACCTGGCTCGGTTACCTCAACTCCTTAATCAACCCCATCATTTACACCATGTCCAATGAGGACTTCAAGCAGGCCTTCCACAAACTGATACGGTTCAGATGCTTCAGGGCGTGAAGGACGATGCCAGCCATGATTTTACCCCGCCCCAACACACACACACACCCCACGACCTCCTTCAAGCTCCCATCTGTAAAATACCAGGATTGAGTCAAACCCGATATTGACACCCCCCCCACCTCTCCTCCCCTTCTCCTAAAGTTGCCATCACCCAAAGCCAGATTTCTTTATGGTACAGTGGCTCCAGAAGGAGCGTCTGTCTGATAGGTGGTGCAGGTGGTGGACATGGACCCGCCTCCCGGCCTGTGCTGCTATTGAGGATGTTGGCGCAGATGAGAGGTGTCAGTGAGTGTAAGGCGTGTGACTCGTTTGCAGGTGATTGTGTTGCTATAAAGACTCAGAGAAAGCTCCCCCTTCCCCATGCAGGGGGCCACCCCCCGCCTGTATGTGCTGCACTTGGCTGCAGCATACAGACTCCCTTTGCCATAAGAGTTTGACAGCCAGCGTCAGTTGGCTCGTAAGCACAAACAGCTTAAGACTAAGCTACCATGAGCCCGAAGGGCAAAAAATAAGATTTGTGTTTCATTTTCCTGTCAATAAGGGGAAATACCGGTGCCTACAACATGTTTGGTTCAGTTCTTCAGATGTGCCTGGCCCTAACGGGGGCAAAGGCATGATTTTAGTTTGTGGGAAAAGATCCAAATTTGGTTTATTCTTGTGGCCAGTGTGTGTATTTCTGTTTCTTTTTCTTGCTGTGGCTGATGTTCACCTTTAACCATGGCTCAGAACTGAGTGTAATTGTACGAATCTGTATGCATCAGTGTGATTTTTACATTAATTTGTCCAAAAAAAGAGGCTGGATTTTGCTTGGTCATGCTGTAAAATAGTGCTAATCTCAGAGAGAGGGAGGAGCCGGTACTGTAAAACCCAACCTATCTACCAGAGCTCTCTAAAGATGCATTTCTAAGTGTTGATGTTTGCTTTAATGTGCCGTCTCATATCAGACTCAAACAATTCAGATCTGACTCTAAAGGCTGCTGATGCAGACTCCCATCTCTTGGCATTTGTGTCTTCCACACCTCAAAAGTTGTGCAAATTTATTTATTTTTAAAAAGCTGGAAAATGTCACGATATTGTGATCAAAATCACATGTTAAATGTCAGGCTGTAGCTGCTGCTGCTGATCCCTTAAAAGAACATTTCAAGGGAAAAAAATCTTTTTAAAAAATAAATCTGTTTGCTTGCAGCTTCTAAAAAAATGTAAAAAATCATTTTATGGATAAAAAAAAAAAGCCACACATGTGCAGGACCATAGCAGAGGCACTGAGGTGATGGGCTTGGTTTTGTTAGGGCTGCTCGACTGTGGCTGTGTGGTGTACTGGTTATTCACCCAACGCGGGAGAGAACGCCCAAGTTAAGGCCGGCAGGAGAGATAAAAACCCTGCCTGATGGTCTCAGGCCTGGATCAATCAGGAAGGGCATCCAAATCAAGCATGTAGTGACTCATTAGCAAACAAGGGAACAGCTGAAAGGATGGTCCAAATCCTCTGGAATGACAGTGGATTTTTCACCCTTTAACTTTAAATTCAGCTGAATAAATGAAATAACTGCAGTTCAGGGTGATGGCAACTTTGGCTTTTTTGCAGGGTAAAAGTAAAGGAAAGTTGATTGCGAAGCTGATTTATTTTATCTTCATTATATACGCTTCGTAACAGGAAGCTGAACTTGTCCAAGAAATTAAGATCCAACTTAACTGCACAGTCTTAGGTGTCATTTCTTGGAGTTCTGGTTGTACGGTTATACCCAGTTTACACACTGGTTCGTTTTTAAAGCTTATTCTGTTCAGTTTGGGCCAACAACATATGACATTCAAGTGATTTACAGTATTTTACCATATTGCAGACTTGAAATTAACAAATTATTTATTATAAATTAGCAAATACAATTTAAAAATTAAATATATAAAATGTAAAACTTTTAAAAAAAAAATATTATTTACTGAGTTGCATTTGACTCTTAATTTGACCTGTGTTTGTAAAATTTCCAGCGATGCCCTGAACATGTATAATCCCAGATAGCAGGTTGGAACCACGTCCAGGTAATTTATGGAAAATGTTAAAGGGTTACTGGATTTCTGCCCTAGGGTTAAAGGAAAAGGTTAAGGCCACTCTCAAGACGAGCCATCCAAATATTTATCGCCACACTCATACAATGCTGTCAGACAGTTTCCCCTCCTATCAGGTCAGGAGCAGCTACAGCAACACTGAAGAGTCTGAAATAACGCGTAGAAATAAATAAACAGTTTGGAGAGGAAGGTGAGTTTCTAATATCGTACTAGCCTTGTAAAAATTCACAAATTTCACAAAGAAATTTCACAAAAATCTAAATTTTCACTTAAAATGAAAAAATTTCCTCACAAATGTGCGGCTTTATAATCTACAATTCTGCCACTTCTGTCTTTGAAAAGAAGATTTTCTCTTTTTTTAGTTTTTTTTCTTAAACTCAATGGTCCGTATGTGCCCCTGTAGCTACAGAGATCTAGCAGATCTTCAGACTTTGATATGAAGTCAGGAGGTGATAATATTAGCTTAACTTAGCATAAACATTGAACTCAAAGGAGAAACAGCTAGCATCACATCTCTTTTACTCAAATCTCGAGAGAGTATGCAAGCTTTAAAGGTGAAAGGTCGTGGGCTAGCTTTCTCTCCTTGGTTTATGCTTTTGCGCTAAGCTAAGCTAAGATAGGCTAAGCAGGTGCTGACATACAAAAGAAAGAATGGTATTGATATATCTCAGATAGAAAGCTATATATTATATATATTAAACTTTTCCATCAAAATTAAAAGGCTGAATTTTCTACTCATCATAAAGGTGACCTATTCTGCTTCTGCCTAACCCCATATTGTTATTTTGAGACTCCACGAGAGTAACTTTGGATAAATCCTGGTTCAAAATAATCCTTATTAAGCTCATACTGGGCCTTAAATAGTCCTGTTCCTGTCTTTTTAAGACCCACCTACCAAAAAAAGGCAGATTAGCTTGCAGAAGCCAGCTGAGGGATTAAAATTGTTGCTTTTGGCCGACAGAGATTATTTTTACTCACTTTTTACTGCATTATTTATCACATTTAACGACTATATTCCGAAGATAAGGAAGAGCAGGATCAGTCTCATTTAACAAGGGAAAATTCACTGAGCTGTTCCCGATGAACACTGAAATTAATGAGTTTGATTCCCCAATAGAAACAGTGAAAATGTCTAACCACTTTAAAAAATAGAAAATCCCGGTGCAGTTTCTCTCGAAGAGATCCCACCTCTTCTTGTAACTGAACGGCGGCCACTCTGGGATTCAATCTGGACGTATGATAGCCATTGTGCTCAAATCCAGCTCTGTGACGAGTCGCCTCTTTATGTACAGTATCGATCAGCTCAGTGTGAAATTCATCTGGTGGCTCCGTCAATCCAATGGAAGTTGCATTTCATCCAGGTTAGCTTTTTGCTGTACAACGCTTCTGCGCACATTGGCGATGCACTGTAACTGCTCTCTGCTCTGCAGGATGAAATCCAGCCCGGATGGAGCACAAAAAGCACTGCTGCTGTTGTGAAAACTTAAAAAATGAATAAAAAAGGTCTATGGCATCATGAGGATATGACCGTTTGCTCACTTGTGTTCATTTATTCCGATTTGAATGATTCTGAGCCTCAAAGAGAGCGCTGGCATTTCTTCTATCTGCCAGAATCTGTTGGCGTTTCAGTTTGCACTGAGAGGATAAAACATTTGACAGATGTGAGCTGATAGAGGTGCTGCGTGACGATATTAACAGTTCGTAACTTAATTAATCAGCAGGGGGAAAAAGTGGAAGCAGAAAAAATGTCTGCTGTAACTGCCTAATGAAATGCACGCCCTGCTTCTTTTTTGTCTTTTCCATGCTTCTTATCTGAATCTGCATCCTCCACTGTGAGTGGGGATTATATGTTAATGCACCCAGCTCAGCATACATACAGCATAATAAGGGCTTTGTCACGCAACAGCAGTTAGGTGGCCGTTGTGTTGCGAGTGTATAGGTTTATTGCTGTTTTTGCATTTTAAGTGATGTGCAGTGTTTTAAAAGTCAGCAGTTATTCTCACAAACACCAAATGTGCACTTTAAAACCACAGAGTGACTAGAAACACATTTAATTTCATATTGCAGGAAAAAATGACCCAACAATTCACCGCAAGGTCAAAGTCACCCTGTTAGTGTGTGGAGATGATTCTGGTGCGAGTTGCCCATTTTTAGTTACGATATCGGCTTTTTGTGAATACAAGGTGCAGTCAAAAACTTCCAGGAACAAACCAGAAGCCTTTCCTGATTTAAATTTGACTGAACTCCCCTTCGATGTCATCTTTTTGTGTACCTTTGAATTGTTTCGGTGCTGTTGTCATCTTTAGATGGAGGACCTGTTATGTCACTTTATACTTTGTACCTCCAGTGTAGAAAAAAAGGCACTCCTTCAACTTGATTAGCATTTTGGGGAATTATGCCCTAAGATGCTGACATTCTCGGTCCACGGGATGAGTTCATGGTGCACAAGCTGATCTGTGTTAAACAACCATAAACTCCTGGTGTCCGTCCCACTTTCAGTTCCAACTTCAGGCTTAGAAACTATTCTTCGGCTGGGCGATGTTCAGTTGGAGCTAAAGACCGGCTCTACCTACCTGTGCAGATTCTTCAAATAAAATTTGGGTTGGTTTAAAACAGAAGACAGAGTTTTGTTGGTGGTGAAATCACAGAGTGAGGATTGTAAGTGGTCAGAAAGCGACTCCCAGACAGAGGTCTGAATATAGCAGCCCTGTGTAAGCCGTCCAGTCATGCCTGAGAACATGGCCTTGAGTGGGACAATGACCAAATTTAAATCATTTAAAGTTTTTGATTCTGACAGACCTGTTAAAAACATATATTGAAAATTTCAGCAGCAGTGTTTGTTTCCAGAAAACGTTACCCAACAACTCAGGAGAAAAATCTTCCTCAAACGTCAATGTGAACAGTTTGGATGTAAACGTAAATCGTAGCATCTCAGCTAGACATACACTTCCGCCAGGACTGTTTTCAACAGCTACCCAGGAGGCCCGAGCCCCCCCAGCTGGCTCCTTTAGATGCTAAGGCCCATTATCTCAACTCAGAGCCTCCTCCAACTCTCCAAGATCCCCCCTTGATCAAGGCGAAGTGCAGAAACTCAATGGAGGAAACTCCTTTTGATTGCTCGTATCTCACTCTTTCACTCACTGCCCAGATCTCATGACCATGGATGAAGGTTGGAATGAAGATTAACTGGTAAATGGAAAGCATCGCTTTGCAACTCATCTGTGTCTTCACCCAACTGGAGATCCGTATAACTGCAATTTTTGCACCAATCTGCTGGTCCGAGTCAGAGGGGGTGTCCAAATTCATGGGCTGCATCCTCCTGAGGCCGGATTTGTAGGCCGATTACGTCACAGTGACGCGAGGAAGGCTGTCCAAATTCGTAGACTCCTCCGAATGCAGCCGACAAATGCGTCCTCCTTTTCCCCGAATTTGAAGGATGGGTCGGGAGTGTCCTTCGTGGCCCACCATATCCCAGAATTCATAGTGCGGCCCAGCCCAATTCCAGTTTTCAACAATGGTGGCCGCTACTAAGTTTTTTAATATTACCCTTATTACTCTTTCTGGGTCACAAAATAAACTTTTAACATATTTTCAGGTGAGAATGTAGCTGTGTAAACTTCAAATATCTGCTCAGTTTATCAAGACACCACATATTTTCAAAAGTGCTCCGACGTTTTCAGAGACGTCTGTTATCCACCAGCTCGATAGCTAGCTGGGAGCTCAAGGGTCACTGAAGCCACCGTGAACGGCACAACTCCCGGTACATCATTTTCAGATCACTGCGGTCTTTCACCACTCAGGTTAAACGTAATATATAAGTCACTTAACAATGTTATTTTTTGGCTTTTTTCAGTGTTTTATTTGTTCGTGAGTAAATCGGTTTGGCTGAGATTAAAGTTATTAGATTAGATTAGATTAAAAAAAAACTTTTTTCCCACAGCTGAATAAACGTCAAACAGAAAACTGATTAAACAGAAGTGTGAGATGGTCGAGAATTTACGCCAGTGTCCTGTTATATTTTAGATAGCAAGGAGCAGACGGCTGAGTTTATTAAACTCCACCGAGACAGCGGTGACGCAAATCAGAAGGCTAGACCGTCCAATTCCACAGC